AAGAAGAAGAAGAAGAAGAAGAAGAAGAAGAAGAAGAAGAAGAAGAAGAAGAAAACTTGTAATAATATGTGTAACTTTCATTTACAGATTTCTAACAACTGAACCTGAGACTTAGAATTTTCGAAAGTTCTCCTTTTCTAAATTTGGCAATTTATTTTTAGATAAGCCTGAACCCCAACCCTTTTTTCTACCTCTGCAAATCAGAAACAGTTCGTACAGGGGGGTGGTATACGAGTGAGAGCTGCGTCGTACGAGGTCGGGAAAAACAGATATAAAAACAAAATACAAACACATTGTAACAGGACACAAAGACTACACTACGAGGCCCAGGTTCAGAGCTAGCTGTTAAAGTGTGACGAGTTCGTGAACCTATTCATTCCTCTTTTTGACCCAGATTTTTAAATTAAGCTGTCCTAAATCTATACTTAGTCAGTGAAATAGATCCGCTTGCTACTTCAAAGTGGATATCTGGTGGCTGCCCAGACGTTGAACAGTTGGAATGACAAATTATGAATTAACTGCACTTTTTGACATGAGTACGAAGTATTTTTGACCGAACATTTATTCTTCGTCTCCTATTAGTCATACAAGATCTACATTTCTAGTGCTGATGGGTTTTTTCGCACTTGACCGTTTTATCTACACAATACCTAGTCATTCCTTGCCTGACAATACTGACAGACTGTTTGCGAAGTGCCTTTTTAAAGGTTACTAATTAATTAACAATACTGACGAGAGCAGTTTAAGAGAGCAGCTTCAGCCTAAGGTAGGAACTGACCTTTTATTTTACCCGAACGTTGACCAAACGGGCCTTCTCTTTTCGACTTTAGAACCGCCGCATGGGACCTCCGAAAATTCCCATCCTTATTCGAAAACACTAGGTGCTAAACTCTTTCCACTTTTGGGTAATGGGATGTAGAAAATTAGAAAAAAACCGAAGCTCAAGGATTGAACTCCTGACATTCAAGTTAATTGAGCCCGATTTGTGTGAGATTTGTGTTGCTACCACGGTACAGACTATTTTTACGAGGATCACATAAAAGCAAACCGGTATAGAATCAATTGTTTAATCCTATCCATACGCCCTTGGGTCATTTTGTACCCCCGGAGTTGTATTCTTCACATTTAAGAATACTTCTAGAACAAAGATCTCTTTGAAAATTTCAGTATTATGCAAAGCGTACGGATCGGATTAACGAGTAAATTTCCTCTTTGGAAAGTGGTGGCACAGAGTTCCCAACGTCGTATGCATACGATAGTAAAATACGAAGTATGGATAGGGTTAAATAATAATTGCGTATGCCAAACATCTAGCTAACAGTCGAAATAGCGGTAATCTGGTTGCTCCAGGTCCTCTTCACCTCAGCACTGGGCGCCAGCTGTCTCCACAGAGGACAAAGAGCGGCTGATGACGGGTTCCTCATGGTCAACACCAGCTACGGCACTCTCAGGGGAAAGGTGGATTCTACACCTTCAGTTCCTGTGGCCAAGTTCTTGGGCATTCCTTATGCTAAATCACGACTAGTTCAGGCACTTTCTCTAAATCTTTCTCAGTTCTTCACCTTTTTCCATCCCCCTCACCCCCAGTATAATTGGTCGCTGTTAAAGACAAGCGGGCTAACCCAGATTTCGGGGGTTTCTAGAAATCTTGACCTACACCAAAAGTGGGCATTGCCCTACCTCTAGAAGAAGTTTGGTTTCATTGGTGTGTATATTTGTTTGGTTATAGAGAAAACTCTCCTTGTCTTTTAAAGAAACTGAACAAGGGGCAAAAACTTTATTCTCGATTTTCTCAAAACAGCATTTTTCGGGATAGCCCCCATTGTGCTTTAAAAGTGACCAATTATCTTCTCCTGGGATACGCTGATCCCTCCCCTTCCAGTCCCCCCTCCATTATCTGCTTCAACCCTCCATTCCCTCCACCACCCCTCCATACTCATCACCTGCTTCGCCCATTTACGTGGGCATGTTAGTTTGCATACATCAGGCCGAATCACACGAGGTTACAGCTGACTACTTTTTATACCCCAGCTTTAGGCGTTTTTTAATTCAACCTCAGAGATAATACGTGGGTGGTTGGCGGGTGCTCTGGGGTGGTTTGCTCCTTCTTTCCTATCAAACACCTGTCTTCCTTATCTCCCTTCCTTCATTTTTTGTGTATGTTACTCTCTTGTAACGCATAATCTTTTCTTCGGCACTTATATGACATTATTGT